TCACTTGTTATACATGATATCTATCTTCAACATTTAATATATTATATTCTCGTGTATTTGCATGATTTACGTGTACAATATTTTTTGTTTCAGTTGTGAAGGTTATAAAATGATGTATAATATGCATGCTGTATTTTTTTTCTCTTTTTTTTGTTGATTCATCGATTTTATAGATTACTCTTAAAGATCTGACATACAAAGTCTAAAAACAAAAAATTGGCATACAAAAACAAACAGTTATAATTGAAGGATAGAGACTTGATTTTTTCTTGTTGAATAGCTAATGTAATCGTGCTCTGTTATTTAATAACATAGTGAAGCACTTCCTTGTTAAGTTATCTTAAAAATGAGTGTAGTTTTTTTGTTTCTAATAAATAAAAAAAYAAGAATAGATGTTATAGTATCGTCTGAAATGTGACTAATTTATTTCAGCATAACTATATTGTTTTTGGGATTGATGTGATACTTGCATTTACGAGTACCATAGAGTAAAATGTACAATTTTTTTTTGAAAGAGATATGATCGCCCTAAAATATAGGCTATATATATTAATTTCTCACAACAAATTAATTCAATTTTAAATATGTAATTTATTATTTGTTGTGCAGATTTTTTTAGGATATTTTTGTAATTTCATATTTAATAAAGTGTATTTTTCAAAAAAAAATAAAAAAGGTATTTTTAAAATTTAAAAAGCCAAAAAAGATATTTTTTCAAATTTTCTCATAAAAAAAAGCATTTGCTAAAACAGCTTCCTTTGATTTAAGTTAAATTCATGTTAAAAATAAATTTGTCTATTATAAACGTGATGTATGTAGAATTATAAAAAAAATCGTTATTTTTATGATTGTGTAAAATGTCGGTTGTAAGATCATTTGTATTGTTGTTCGTAGTGTTTTCAATAACTACAAGAATTAAATCATTATCTATATTAAACAATAAAAGTTAAAAGTATATTTGAAATGGTGATTTTAAACACGCCAAATTACAAAACTTAAAAACGAACTTAAATAACAATGCTAACAAACATTCACAAAGACTAATAAGAGTATCTCCATTGGTTGAAATACCATAAGAATATCTCTCCAAATATAAAAATGATATTTTTAATATTAATTAAATAATTTTAATTAAAATTAAAAATAAGATTGAACCAATTTATGGACATTTGTTGTATGAATTTCTAAACTTTTATTTTGTAGTCTCTCAAATCAGAGACTCATTTGTGTTTCTCTCCTGCTTTATACAAATTTTATTGATTTTTTTTTATTCTAAGAACCTCAATGAAAGTGCTCTAATTAAGGAACAGCCAAATTACAAAAAAAAATTATGACGAATCAAATATAATTCTGCAAGAGAAAAACCAAACTTATACTTCGACAAAAAGAGAACACATACAAAAATTTCAAACAAATTTCCAAAAACGACGGAAACAAAGGCCAAAGCGTTACACCACCCCGATAAAAACCAAATCGAAATGAGCAGATGTGAAATGGTGAATCTACTCATGAAGGGAAACAAAAAGATATGAAAAGTAAAAGTTGTGTAATACTATGAGCTTAATGGCAAAAATTAACATAATTTAACAATTAAAATACAATTTCTCAAAATGGGATAAATTTCGGTTAAAGATCCAACAACGGGCTATATACATACCGGTATACAATAATGCCGATTTGGGCTGTCGGATTTATAATGCCGATTATAACCCAAACCGTGTCTTCAGAATCAAACTCCGAAAATGTCGCCAAACTTTAAAGTGGAATCTTGTAGCGTTGATTCCGACCAAGGGGTAAAGCTCCACACGAAAATCTTCAAACCCAGAAACGTAGGAGACGATGGGAATCTGGTGATAGTTTTGGTCCATCCGTTCTCGCTCTTGGGTGGTTGTCAAGCTCTGCTCAAAGGCATAGCTTCTGAATTGGCCTGTAAAGGTTACACGGCGGTCACTTTCGACACGAGAGGTGCCGGAAAATCAACCGGAAGGGCTACTCTTACGGGGTTTTCCGAGGTCAAGGATGTCATCGCTGTTTGTCGGTGGCTTTCCCAAAATATCTCTGCTCATAGGATCCTCCTCGTCGGTTCTTCTGCCGGTAAAGATCTGTGCTTTCGATTTTTTAAGGATAGAGTTTGATTTGTCCTTTTGTTTTGTGTGTCATTTTCTCTGTCTGATTGGAAGTTGAATCTCTGATGTTTCATGTTTGATCTGTTAATGCAATTTACTTTCGAATTCAATGTATGGACTTCTTCAAATTGTAGGAATTGCTTTTTGTTCAAATGATGCTTGGGAGCTGTATTTGATCTGTTGGGGTTTTTGGCAGTATTGATGACAGAATTATTGCTTCTAGGTTGATATACTTTGTTTGAAAATTTCCATCGAAGTTGCCAGCTTCATTGTGGCAGGTGATGAGAAGTTTGCTCATTTACTTGTTGATATCTCTAAGTGGTTTAGTTGATTTAATTGATGTTAGTTCTCTATCTGTGTAGATTATGAATCTTTCATGTTTCTATTTGGTGTTTCCCACATTTGGGTGGATCTAGTCTTGGTGTTTGTCTAGATGATAAACTTTAGGGAGTATAGGTGAGAATGGAATAAGAAAGTTCAGTCGGCTGCGTAAAGAAGAAGAGTTAGCATTGTTTAAAAGTAGTGTCTGGGTGGTTTTCGGGTAGAGACCCGAGACTTAATCAGATGTTACAGTTTCTCTTTGGTGAAATAACGGAAATTCTTATTTGTTCTTCTTAACTACTGATTACCAAGAGTTTGTAAGATAACTCTGTTTCTTGTTTGTGTCATGATTCTGTTTGATATCCCTTGGAACACATATGCATTGCTGCGATTGATATGAATCTTTTCAGGAGTTTGTCAAAGACTATGAAAGCATCACTTTAAGAATCCCTTTCTGTTTCCTCTATCTGTTGATAAACTTGCAACTTTAAGGTGTATCTGCCATACATGGTGCATCTTCTTGCAGTAAATCCTACCTTCCTTTTTGATATGTTATATAGCCTTGTGATTTGCCATTATGTTAGATTTACAATTGATGTACTGATCCTAGTCAATGACAATCTCGCTGGTCTGATGTGTGTAAATGATGAACTGTCTTATCACATTACCCTTCTGATGGATATTCTAAGACAATTTGATATTCCATGCCGATTTCTTTATATTGTAAAAGGGGGAAGAAAATGAAGTTGTTTCAATGTGTCTATGGCAGGTGCACCAATCGCAGGATCAGCGGTGGATCAAGTAGAGCAAGTGGTGGGATATGTGAGTTTAGGATACCCGTTTGGCCTCATGGCCTCAATTCTGTTTGGGCGGCACCACAAGGCCATTCTCTCATCCCCTAAACCAAAACTCTTTGTTATGGGAACACAAGACGGCTTCACTAGCGTTAACCAGCTCAAGAAGAAGCTAAAATCTGCAGTGGGACGTACCGAAACACATCTCATTGAAGGTGTTAGCCATTTCCAGATGGAAGGACCTGATTATGATTCTCAGGTGACTGATATCATATGCAACTTCATTTCATCCATGTAAGAGTTACAGCTTGATTTTGTTGTTATGTACCACATCATGCACAAAGGATCTTTGCAGTTTGCATATATATTCTATATTCATATATAACCTGATAGCAAACAACAGATGTTACAAATCCGGAAAAATGACAATGATATGATCATGGCTGTTCAATCTTACTGCCAGTTCTCACTTGATACCTTCATCTTCATGGCCTTTCGCAATTGCATCGAATTCCATCATGGGAGGTGAGAGAACCATCACAATAGAATCTTGATTTGTAATTCCTTCATAGTTCATACATAAGGAAAACAAATCCTTCATATTTTGCTTTTTGAAGTGAAGTTTTTTGAAATTGATTTCCTCGAAAATTTTTTGCCTGCTACATTCTGTGGTCACTGTAAATGACAGAAGAAAAGCTAAAAACAAAAAATGGTTGGCTCTATACGCAAGAAAAAACGACTCAGACCAAGACAAGGCTAAATTGCTAAGCTAATCGATTCGACCCGGATGCTCTTCTCCGCCTACGCCTCCTCTGCCGGATTCTCCAAATGCTAAGTAGCACTAAAACTCCTACAAAACAACCACCACAGAGTATAAATCAAAGCGTGATTGCGTTGTTTGGAAACAAGAATTCTATTTGACACTGCAAGGTCTTCAAAAAGTTGGGTATATTACCACTAGCTGCAACACCAGCAGGTACGATCCATCGAGTAGCAACAAGAAATGGCATGTCAATCTGCGAAAGGAAAGCAAAATAATGAAAACTTTGTGGTCTCCTCAAGCCATGATTAATTAGAAATCAGAAGATAACATGAATTACCTCATCTCTATTAAAAAGGCCTCCCAGATACTTGTTCCTGGAAGAATTAACCTCACCTCCTTCCTTGGCTGATCTCCAACGTGATGATCTTGTAGTCTCGACTGTGAAATTCAGGCCTCGGCCCAAATCAATGCCACGATATCCGGGTAATCTACGGTTCCTTCCTCTGACATGTAAGTTGTATCCCTTAGTCCCCCATACTTCAAATCTGGAGTCACTCTCGCAGATTAGTTCCTTCCCGATCACAGAGGAGTATGCTGAAAAATTTATATCAGTTCTTCGAGATGGCAGTTGGTTCTCGTCTGTGATTACAGGTGAATATCTCTTGGAAAATTTTGAGAAAAGTACAGGGTCTTTGATATTTGAACTGGTAAAATCTAGCATTTTCTTCAAGAGCCAGTAGCAGTTGGTGACCATGTGGCTACTGTCCAGGCAATTTGAGTCTCCATAAACACCAACTCGACCTTCACCGATCTCCAAAAGCCCAAGAACAGAAGGGTCTTCCTGTAAACAGAGCCGCATTATCACCCAAAAATTTACAATTCAAGATAAAATATGTATGGCATAGTTTCTCATTACCTTTGATGACCCAGTTTCCAGTAGATTCTGTGTCGCGCCACTTTCAGAGCTGTCCAGTAAAGGAAAACTGTGCAAAAACCCACCAGCAGGAAACCTGACTATGTTTGTTCCAGAAGCATATCGACTCTGCTCACCGTCAATACTAAAATCCCCATTCAGAATTTTATCTCCAAACGCAATCCCAAATGAAGCAAGAAGGTTATTGAGTGCGGGGATATTTGCACCTCCAGTGACGGGAGTCCACCAACTGCGTGTGTTATCATCGAAGAATCTCATTTTCACCATGGTATCAACATTATACCACTCAGCAAACACAACCAGACCCAGTCCTGTATTGATAACGTCATCTCTGAGTTTTTCAATTTCTTCCGGAAAGTACTCATCTTCGAGGTCAACCATCAAAAGGGTTCCATATTGCTGAGCATCAAAACAAGTAAGAGGGGAACCAAGAGTCTCGATATAGTACCCAGCATCACGTAGCATGTTGAACATGATGTGAAAGTTTGTGTGCAGGTGATCACCATGCCAATCAAGAATGTCATTGCGGACATCCAAAGAGTCTCTTGGAATATAACCTGGAGGATATTTAATGCTGTGAAATTGATCCCACAAAACACGTTTTGCTCGTGGTGGGGTGGGAATCACTTTCAGTTTCAACTGAAGAGAACAAGTACTTCTTCTAGGCCCATTTTCTCCTGGAGCTGATGGGCTATAGACTATCACAGTTACATTTCCCTCTATTAGACCTGTAAATTGTGCCCCCTCTTCCTTGATCTGCATGTGTAAAGCTAGATAACCAGTCCAGGGCCATACGACATCTGGGTACTTAAAGTGAATGCTAAGAAGATTTCCTTCTTCATTTGCAGGATGCCATGTTGGTGGACTTTCAATATAGCCAATGACACCCATACCATTTAGAATTGTCGTGTTGAAAATGATGGGCATAGCACCCGCGTATAGTGGCTGACGACAAAAGGGCCACGAATATGGACAATCATTATAATCAAGAACGCTCGGGAAAATGCTTGCTCGGGGCTGGTAGCTCTTTAGAATTTCATATGATTCTAATCTGACAAAGAGTCGGAAAATTAGATACTAAGAAAATAGGGAAATAAATAATCCACTGATGTTTACCAATATGGGTATTTTAACTTACAGATCAACTCTTCCTGCACCCTGCTCATACATATTAGGACCTGAAAGCTTAGCAGCACCTTCGACCAATGCCTGCTTCATGCTTGCTGGATTGAGCAGGGCCTTCCTTCTAGCTTCAGGAATAACACTTACAAGTAGGCACACAATACCAGCAACAACAGGACTAGCCACACTTGTTCCAGACAAGCTTTTGCAACCAGTGCTGATCTTGGACCCCGTAATGTCACGGCCATACGCAACCACATCTGGTTTGACACGGCCATAACTGTAAGCAATATAATTTTAAGTTACAGTTTGTACGAAACAAGCATTTTGAATCTCTACCATTGTAGAATTTTAAAAATGGGAATGTTGAAGCAACCCTGAAACACAGTACCCATGAGGAATCTCCCAGGTACTCATGCCTCGAGATGAAAATGAAGCTATGTGATCATCATAGTCAATGCCACCGACACCTATGACATCACTCTGGTCAGCTGGATTATTTAATGTTCCGTAAAGTGGCCCATCATTCCCAATTGCAGACACCATTACAATATTGCTGGCTGTTATTTCCCATACCTGCTTAAAAATAATCAGCGCCTCTGATATACACTACTGTTTATATATCCTAAATAGAGAAACCCCAACACTTGACTTAACAGGATAATGCAAACTTCAATCAAGAAACTAAGGAACCTGGAACCATTACCTTCTCTACAAAAGGCAGATCCAAGTAATCCGGCCCCCCAATGCTCAAATTTAATACATCCATATTTGTTGCTATGGCATAATTGAAAGCATCAAGAAACCATGAGGTGTATGATACCTGCAAGAAGCTGAGCGCAAACTTCTCATAACCTGTCTGATTAAGATAACTTGCATATACGGGAAATCATGTATGGTAGGAGTAAGAATGAAGAGGGGACAAAGAGAAAAGGAACACCCTCAAATATAATAGCCGTCAATTATACTGTGCTGAGGAAAAAATAAAGATCAGCGTGTAGGTATCTGTAACCAATATAAGTATTTCATTCCTAGTAATTGTAACTGGGGAAACACAAAAATAAATTATTGGATCACGAGTGAGTTAGTTTAGTCGAAGAAACGTTAAACCCCTAGCCACATAAGAAGATGTATCTGTTGTGTGATCATGCATTACCTGGGCATCTGTGAACACTCGGAAAGCATAGATTTCTGTGTCAGGGGCAAAACCAAGACATTCTGGATTTTGACCAGCAACAACACCAGCAACAAATGTCCCATGCCCCAGGTTGTCATTCAAAGTGTCCTCATTTGTCCAATTTGTACGCTCCTGAAAGTTACTGCGTCAATACCAGCTTCAGAGCTTCTTAACAAGACAGGAAGAAGATCAAAGACCACTAGTAGCCGTAAACACTCCTCTTATCTAGAATGTTAGAGATATACTATGGTTCTATCTCTTTTTCTAAAAAGTGGTACCTTGATATTACGGAAATGGGGATGGTCAGCTCTTATTCCGGTATCAAATATGGCCATTTTGACTTTAGCACCAGTGTATCCCTTTCCCCAGAGAACATCTGCTCCAAACATGGACGTAACTTGAGTCTTCTGCGATACAGAAATTAAGAGAACTCACTTACAGATGAAAATTAGCATACAGTTCGAATTAACAAAACAAGTATTCCAGTAGATTTTTACGAGCAACTACACCATAATGAAGTAAGCAGAGCAAACAAAAACACATATTATGCAACAAGAGAGTAATGATAACAATAGAAACAACTTGAACAATCTCTCACCTGACCGAGGAGATGTCGATTCCAGTTTAACGTGGTGTTACTTGTAGCAGCCATGGCAGAGCAATCAGCTCCTTCTTCGAAAGACATCGAAGTAAAGATCTTTCCGGGACGTTTCTTCCCGTCGAGAAAAGATCCTCCAAGCAAAACTCTCTGGTACCTGAACTCCACGTTCACGTCTTTCACCATCTCTAACCCCTCAATCTCAGCAACCACGGACTCTTTCACGCTTTCCTCGATCCATAGAACACCAAAATCCGTCGGATATTTAGCCGCCGGGTTCTTCCTCTCGATCCACCCCCAACGGCCGGATCGGATTTTCGATTCGAGGTAAAAGCGATGAGTCTCCGCCGGATTGTACTGCTTAAACCGGATTATGTAGTTGGTCTGCGTTGCAATTTCAAACTCCGAACGAGTTGCGTTCTGCGGATTGAGATGTTGGTGATTAGTAGGGCAAGTGTTGGGACGGAGCCAGAAGAGAGAAACGGAGAAGATAATGGCGAGGAGAGATGATCTGTAAACGAAATAAGAAGCTCCTGCGAACATTTTCATGGCGATGATTGAATTTGATAGAAAGATTAGCAGACGCACATGCCGTAGCTGGAGGAAATTGCTTCACTCCTCTCTGTATTTGATTTTCTGGGCTTTTGGTATCAACACACACAGTGTTGGTGCCTGGTGGAGTGACTTTTGAACCGACTGGTTGGTTCAGCTTAATCGCACTCAAACCGATTGTTTTTAAGGATTTTTTCTTTTGGTCGAAGCGAAGCCCAATTTCCCTTGATTTAAAAGATGACTGATGAAAAATGTATACATATAACAATTTCTAAATAAAAAATTTAAGAAAACAGCAGCTACAGTAACAACGAAAATGGCTTCTTAGCGAGATCTCATCAACAAATGCCTGAACCATAAATATGTTATTACTATTGTAAGAGAACCAAAATATGTCGATACGGATTGATGTACCAAGTTCTTAGTTTTTATCAGTAAGGCATTCTATGCCGGAATGGCTCGTATGGGGTCCCTATCAGGTAAGTCACTCGATGCCGATATGGCTCGAAATATGCTATACACAGCGATTATTATCGATGACAATATATAGGTTGCAAGTTGCAGTAACCAATAGTTTTCTTAAACATAGCGGATTTAGATGTTGCACGATCCTCATTTTAAAGACATGAGTAAACATATGATACTATCGGAAAAATTGATAGTACGCTTATTTGTTTCGAAATATAATAAACCAAGAACTCTGTTTTTTCTTTCTTTCTTCATATTATCATATCCGCTAGTTTAGCCGAGGCGAGCAACGGCAGCATGTATAGCATCAGCGAGGTGAGGCACTGTCTTCGAACTTAGACCCGCCATGCTTATTCTCCTGCAATACACAATTTGAAGTTCAGTGTATCTTCGAATATATCCTCTTAGAACTAACCATTTTAAGAGAAGAAATGAAGAAATTCTCAGAACGATCTTTCTTTATATAGATAGAGAACAGAAAGTTATTCATGCTCCTAGTCCTAGGCATCGCAAACACCAAACTCTCTCATATCCTAAACAAAATTTGAAAAGAAATGATGGAATATAAGTTGGCTTACCCGTCAGATGTCATGTAAATGTGATGCTCTTTGGTCATGAAGGCAACTTGCTCAGTGTTCAATCCGGTAAAAGTAAACATCCCAATCTGTTTGATAATGTGACTCCAGTCACCAGGTGTACCTGCAAGCCAGACAACGTGTCAAGGACAAAAATGTTGCAGAGTAGGACATACGAATAATTCTGCAAACCCGG